CCCCAAAACCCCAAAACCCCAAAACCCCAAAACCCCGGTTTCTAGAGGGAAATTGAAATTAGGTGAGAGTTATGTTCTGGGTGGTTTTGAGTGGATGAGAGGGGGTTAAGAGAGTTGTTGTTGATTGTGGCCGATGAGTTTTTGTAGATCTTCATGACTAAGCTTGTTGAGTAGCTTGGTTAAATCAATGACGGTTCTGTTAAGTTCATTAATCTGCATCTTATACTGATTCACCTGTTCTTTCTGTGCACTTATGGTATCTTTGCACTCTTCAAGTTGTCTGTTCATTCTTCTTAAAGCAAGTTTATAGATATTTTCTTCATTTGACTTGGAATTTTTTCAATTACACATAGGAATTTGCCTTGATTGTGTTCTATAGTTTACAAAGTCTAGTTCCTGGTTTGACTTCCAATTGCATTGATTTTCACTTGGCTCAGACAGTTTTTCTTGAGTTTGGAAGATTTCTGATGGAATTTCAGAAATAGACTTCACCAGATTCTGACCAGACTTTTCATAGTCTCAATTCTTTGTCTGAACCTTTAGGGGGCTCTGAAATTCTAAAGTTTCTGAAGTTGATTTCCTACGAGGATGACAAGGGCGGAATAAATGTTGTTCTTGCTTCATTTTCAATGTATTCTTTGAGATTTTGGTAAGAGGGCTCTTTTTATGAATGGTTTTATTTTCTAATGTCTGTTCACAAGGTATTCTCTCACTTAAAGCTGATTCTCAAGGATACTTCATTGATTGGAGATGATTTGTATAGCCAAGAAGTTGTATCCTCCGAGGATTCATTGTCATTTTCACATTGGGAGTACCAAAATTGTTGAAATAAATTCTATTTCCTCCAATTTCGGTAGTTGAGCAAACAATATTTTCATAACGAGCTTTTGGTTTAATCAGAGGACGATTACTTAGTGATAATTGTTTTTCTAAATAATAATGATCAGGTATATTTGCTTCTATTTCTTTTATCTTTAATTTTCTCTTTAGTGATCTTTTTCTCCCTTTAAAGTTCAAATTTCCATTCTTATTGAACAATTCATTATCTTTACAATAACTAGGACTTTTCTGAGCAGCATTTGTAATTATAATCTGATTACTGTGAAGCTTTTTAAAAATCTGATTCTTAAAAGGAGTCAATATTCACAAGCTACCTTCACAACTTTCACTTTGCTTCTCGCCAAAATTCTTCATAAATCCTGAAATTATTAATTCTACTAAATCAAACCCCATGGGGTTTTGGGGTTTTGGGGTTTTGGGGTTTTGGGG